GATTTATAACGTGGTTCACTTTGACGATCTGTAACGCCGAGCCGAGAAGAAATTGAAACGATCGGTTGACTTCTCTTTTTATGGTATTCATATCGAATTTAACTGTTAAAGTGGCATAAGAGATTTTCTGACTCAAGCGCCATCGAACCGCTTTTGGTCCTCATCTCAATGTTGTCTCAAGAAATGAACGGAGTCACAGTTTTAGGTCGCCTCCGAACGGCTGATAGATTTTTCATGTCAGAAATACACTCGGGGGCTTCGAATTTTCCAGGTGAGGGGCATAGGCAGTAGAAAAACCTTTGTCAATTATTTTGCTTCTTGATCGGTACAGGATTCGAAGCCTTTAACCTTCATGGATGTATGTGCTAACTCTTTGGTTGCATTTTGATTAAAATCTGGTTGAAAATACGGATTTTAGACATATTTCGACTACAGCGCCATCTATTGAAATTATTGCGACTAGATTCTATGATTTGGAATCGACTAGAGCTTGGCTTCTGTGACCAGATGCACCGGGCATTTGGTTTTTTAGAAGGAAAAGAAAGTGGAGGAAAAGAAAGAGGAGAGGCAGAGGAAAAGAAGGAAAATATTATTTTAAGGACATTTCGATTAACGAATTTTTATAAGTTACACGTGTTGCACAACCGAAATCATATTCCAGCGCCAAGCAGAGGCTTCAACTAAACAGCCAGCAACCCAGGAGTGACGCACGCTTGTCAAAAAAGACACATTCAAACAAACAATGCGATTTGCCAATAACTTGCAACACAGAATGACAATGAGTGCGAATTTCGGCATGGAAAATGACAGCGAGTCAATGCAAGCCTGTAAGCAAGTAAGAAGAAAAAGAAGACGAACAAACAACTGTTGCAACAGTTACAACGAATGGGCGCACCCACAATTCTGCGCCGACTGAGCGAATGTGCGTGGGTTAAGGCGGTCGGTTCGCAAAACGACGCAGCGCTGTTACAGCCCACGTGCAACACGCAGCAAGGAGGCATATTAATGATTTTTTTCACTATGAGTTACTGAGCCAGCTGGTCTTCGCACGGAGGACAATTCACAGCTGGTTGCACAGGCAGTTTGCGGGAACTCCTCGCAGTGTCTCCTTCCAGCGACCTCCTCTACTCTACTCCAGAAAAACTTTGAAACCGTCGCCTCAGCTTAGTGGCATTTCGAGAAGCGTTTAAGCGCAAGACAGTTTTCACAGCAATAAATCAAAGCGGAATAAAAAATGTTGCACCACATTAAATGTACGCCATTGTGGGTGCCACAACAATGGTGCTTTTTTGTTGTACTTGCAAATTTCGACGATAAAAAATGATGTTTGTGGCGCATGCAAAGCAAAACGATTGATTATTTGAAGGCGCCGGCTGACTGACTTTTGTCGCTGGCAGCTAACTGTTGTTGTGGCGATGAACGGACGGTGGGTGACAGCAAGCGGCGATAGAAGCATGATAATTATGACGACGGAGACTTAACTAAACGTTCACGAAAAACAACAACCGTTGACTGGTGTGCTGTTGCCGGTACCGCTTGTCTGGCTGTCCGCCTGCGCACAATCTCGCCTAATCGCACTGGGCGGGCGCTAAAGCTGAAGAGGCTTGCGTGCCACACGAGCTCTGACCACCAGCTGGTTGGCCCTTCGATGCATTGTGGTGAAAAGCGCATGCGCAGCTGCCACTCAATGTATGCACCTCGATTGGGTGGCATGCAACATGCCACACGTTTCGAGAAAATGACCGCTATTTTCAGACAACGGCATGCCGCACGCTACACCAAACAGCTGTCAACTGACAAGCGCGAAGTGGACACACTTTTTTCTTGCCACGCTGGCGCTGCGGGCTATGCGGCAGCAAATAAAAGGGCACTGATTTTTGGGTTGAGGTAATTAAAAAAAAAAAACGGTACTGTTGCACAAAAGTAGACATAAATACGTGGTTGTACTAATATTTTTGCCAAAATAGTGACTTTTGGAAAAAATAATAATGACGACATATTTTTGGACGGACTGCCTTTGCATTGTATTTCGAGCGGTTTTTCAGTTTTTTGATTTGGTGAATTTTTAACGCTTAATTAAGTATTTTCTTTATATGTATTTTCTTTAATTTTTTTCATAGCATAATACTGTTAAGTTTTTTCATGTAATTTTATAGATTTTATTTTATTTTATTTTATTTTATTTTATTTTATTTTATTTTATTTTATTTTATTTTATTTTATTTTATTTTATTTTATTTTATTTTATTTTATTTTATTTTATTTTATTATATTTTATTTTATTTTATTTTTTTTATTTCATTTTATATTACTTTTTTCTTTTATTTTACTTGAGTTGTTTTTTATTTTTTTATTTAAATTTCTCTAAGTTCATTTAATTTAATTTTATTTAATTTTGCTTTATATTATTTTATTTTATTTTAATTTTATATCTTGTTAAAGGATTTCATTGAAATTTAATTTTTTTATTTATTTGTTTATTTCATTTGATTTTCAATGAATTTTGTATTTTATTTATTTTGAATTTTTTTCTTAATTTGGTTTATTTATTTACGTTAATGTTATTATTTTTTTTAATTTTGTGTTATTTCTTTCATTGTGCGAATTCCTGCCCTCCCCACAAGTTTTCCCTTACTCGCCAATAATACCGAAATCACGATTCACCAAACATCGTCGCCGGGCATCGTTAGCCAACTTAACAGCTAACAATAATAAAATTTCAACAACAGCAATAATAAAAAAGCGAATGCCAAAAGTAATAGCGGCGATAAATGTAATTGCCATGATGTGCAACATATTTTCATGCCACAGGCGCTACCTGTCGATCGTTGTTCGCTGATATGTCGCAAGCATACATTTCTCTTTTGTTAGTTTTTTGTTGCTGTTGCTTTTGTGTTCACAGCTCAACATTGTCCAGTTTACTCCTTGCCACTTACCTCTCCACACTGGCGCATTTTTCACTTGGGCAACCTAAAAAAATCTTTGCTTTGTTTAGATTTTCGGCATTTACCTACATACACTCATATTCAAATATATTTGTATATACATACACAAACACAATTTTTTTTATTGCATCTATGCCACTTGTCTATTATTGCATGCCACCGCTACACTGTAGGTACGTCTGTCTCATTATCCATACAGATTTCATGTTGTTTGCATGTAAAATCAACAGACTTGTTGCAACACAATGGATTTGCATGTTGCCGCTTTAGTTGCGGTCGGTGAAGGCCACTAAATAAAAGGAAAATGCAACACTGGAAGAGAAAAAAAATTGTTTTCCTTTTGTAATTTGTTATTTTACTGCTGTTAAGTTCACTTACAACTATCATTTTCCACACCATGCAATTTTTCCCAGAGAGAAAGGTAAAAATTTGGTGAAATTAAGATAAGTGAACTCTGCGAAGCTGTTCTGCGAATTTAAGAACCTCCGGTGCCGTTGTGTTTGGCTAATTATGTGGTACGAGGAGCACATTCATTTATTGCAAGACACAATTTATTTTTCGATTTAATATTTTTTTATTTAATTTTTCTTTATTTTAACTTTTTTACGATATTTTATGTATCAAATTTTGTATTATATTTTAATTATTAATAATTTATATTTTCTAATTAATTTGATTAGTATTATTTAATTTTTTATTCATAATTTTTTTTTATTCTCATTTAATTTTTTTTTATTATATTTTATATTATTTTTTATAATTTTTTTTAAATCATTTTAATATCTTAAATTTTTTATACTATTTAAAACTTATTTTATGTAATTTAATGTTAATATTTGGCGGCCACGGAAGGCTAGGGTTCAAATCCTTGTATATTACTAACATCCAAAAACTTATAGAAAATTAATTTGAATAAAAATTAAGGTCAAAGTTTCTAATAACGATCGCCCTTCGGCAAGGAATGTCAACCCTTACAAGTGAAGGAGGAGCTCGGCAGATAATCACTTCAGCGGTTACATATATATGTATATATATATGTAATTTATTTTATTATATTTTATTCTTCAATTCCTTTTTTTAATTTAATTTATATTGTTTTAATTTATTTCATTTTATGTAATTTTATTTGTTTTCACTTTATTTTATTTTAATTCGTTCTTTTTTTATTTTTATCTTATTTCAGTATTATTTATTTATTTTTTATAATATTTCAGTTTGTTTCATTTTATTTTATAATTTTTAATTTCATTTAAATTTATTTTATTTAATTTCATAAAAATTTATTTAACATGAGATTATTTCCGTTTATTTAACTTTTATAAATTTTATGTTGTTAATTTTATTTTTTATTTTATTTTATTTAAATAAATGTAATTTAATTTACTTCAATTTATTTTTATTTATATTTATTTTATTTGATTTGATTTTATTTTTTTTATTTATTTTATTTCATTTTATTTAATTTTATTTAATGTTATTTTATTTTATTTTATTTTTATTTTATTTTATTTTATTTTATTTAATTTAATTTAATTTAATTAAATATATTTTATTTTATTTTATTGTATTTTATTTAATTTAATTTAATTTAATTTTTTTAATTTTATTTTGTTTTATTTTATTTTTTTTAATTTTATTTTATTTTATTGAAATTTATTTTATTTCATATATTTATTTTTTTTTAATTTTTTTTGTTCTATTTTATTTTATTTCATTTTATTTAATTTAATTTAATTTAATTTTATTTTTTTATTTTATTTATTTTATTTTATTTTATTATATTTTATTTTATTCTTTTATAATTTATTTTATTTCGTTTATTTAATTTTTTTTATTTTTTTGTTCTATTTTATTTTATTTTAAATTTATTTTATTTTGTATTAGTTTATTTTATTTGTTTATTTCATTTCGTTTTAGTTTATTTTGTTATGTTTGATATTTTTATGTTAACTTGTTTTCATCATACTTATGAATGAATTAAATACTTTATTATTCGCTTCTGAATATTTACACAACACTGAATGAGTTTTCATAATGAAAACAAAAATATTTGAAATCTTACTTTTTCCGATTATTTCTTTTACTGAAATTTAGCATTTTCAGTTTGACTTCGAAATTTGTCGCCAATTATCGAAAGTGTTTATATTTAATTTCTTTTATCACGCATTCATATTATCGCCACTTCGTTTATTTGCCCAAATACAAAGCTCAAAATCGCTGTGACGATCATAAACTGAACTCCAAACGACTGCTGTAAAATTGAAAAAGGTTAACATAATTGAAGAAAAGCTTACAGCAACACAGCTGGAGTAGACAGAAAATATGTCAAAGAATTATGTCTCCAAGGAAGAGGCCATCAATCATTTGTATGCCACAATTAAATCAAAATTCGAAGAGGATGGCGTATTGCAAGAGGTGCGTTGCATGCTGCAGACCAAAATGGTTGCCATGATGAAGGGTAAAAGTGATGGTCAAACTACCTTACTGGGGCGTCCGCTGCCCGATCTTGGTAAGTTGAGTGCTGGCAGTAGCACACGCCCCACTGAGGAGAGTGATAATCGGCAAGATCCACGTTTAAAGATAATGCAACATCTGATTATGGAGTACTTTCATTGGCATGGCTTTCATTATACCGCGGAGATGTTCGCACAAGAAAGTGGCACCGAGAATTTACGGCCATCACGTCAACAGCTCGAAAGGGCTGTTGGTCCCTTTGAACATAAAAGTTTGCCCATACTTTTGGAACTGGTTGCCGAACTCATGGAGAAGAATTCGTCTTGAAGGGAGTAAGCGAAAGATAAACAGTGAGGAACGACTGTTTAGAGAGAGAAAGCGAAAGAGAATCAAGGAAGTTTTGTTATTTAAGTGATATTTTTTTTTAGATTCAATGGAACTTCACTTGAGATATATATATATGTGTATACACATAAATCCATATAACTTCTTAATAAAGCGATGTACATACGAGTAGATATGCAGCGTTGCAGCACTAATTTTGAAGTATTAAAGTAGAATACCTAACTTGAACCGACCTCAGAAACAGGGTTAAGACGAGATTCCAGGCTTGATCACTCCTATACGAATAAGCAGATTGCATGAGAAAAGATGGCTTAAGAATCCTCAGAAATATTAGAAAAACCCATACAAGAAATGATTTGAGCCTTAACGACAAAAAAAAATATAAGCTGGTAAACGTATTGGTCGTGCGTTAGATCGTTGGGATAGAAAAAAGCCTTCCAATACCGAAAAAATTAGTGAAATCTCGTTTTTAATAAGTGTATGATACAATTCAACAGTCTTTTGCGGATTAAAATATTTAAGCGGAGGCTTCAACGAAAATCATTTAACAGATTTTATGTTGATCAGGTTATGTAGAAGCTTCTGATCCTCAGCGAAGAGTACACATTTTTCTAAACTCTACACCTCAGCCTCGCAATTAATGAACTGTCCGATTGGAAACACCGATGGGGATTCAGAAAAATTCAAAATTTACATTTTAAGTTAAAAGAGAGCTTTCCTGACCTTCTATGGTTCACCTCAGTCTAGAAAGATCCTGCAACCACACATGTGGTAGCGCTAGACCACCGTTCATTGACCTGGTTCAGTGCCCACCTGTACAGAAGCAGACCAGATGTTGAGAGAGTAAAATCGATTTCCGCTTTGTGCGGTTTTGTGTTGCTCATACGTGCAGGGTTATCAGCATTGCGGTACCCAGCAATCTTTCTGTGACTGTGTGATGAATAAATTTACGTCATAGACAGATAGAGCAAATATTTCTTCACACATTTTGGAGCTTAGTAAAGGCTCGCCATTCTCTCTGAATCTATCCTCTGAAGCAGTATGTATACCGTTTCTTATAGCAGCATCCTCCAACAGAAAACTGCTGTTTTCTGGAAGCCTAGAACCTCCACCGATAAATAATTCTCGAAAGAAAATTCCAGCAGCGATCAGCCCGCCAAGTTTTGACCCATCCATAAAGAATTTGGGTGTGCCTTTCCTCCAGTTTGTCTGTCCTCTCCAGGCTTCAAGAGTAATTATCCAGGCCCACCCTATGCTTTGCACAAAACCTGAAGATGCTTTGAGAAATTCTAAGATTTTGAAGCAATATTTTAAAATTCAAACTTCTTAAGCCAGGGAAGAATAATCTACAGAAACTCAGGCAACATCTAATTCGGAATTAGAGTGATTTACTTGAAGTCTTGTGCCTTGCACCAACTCTGTAGCAGCTCGGGGTTTGAAACAATGACCACTCGCTTTATGCTCATATTCTAAGGTCACTTTCACTTCCAAAACATCCGATGACCAGTCTTACGGATGCCTAAAATCTAACTGATAAAAGTTACAGTTGGAAGGTCTTTTTTTGCGTTAGCTCAAATTGGATTATTCAAAATTAGGCTCTTTTTGAAAGACTTCTTCTTCTCGACGAAGATTGCAACAGTCTTTTAAGAGACCTCATTCCGCGCAGTCTGCTTTTAGTGAAATATCAGTCAGCTAAATATTCTGACTGATATATTTTGAGGACTCTCCGGAAGGAACATGCAGATCTTCCATTTTTTGGAACCCAAAAACGATGAATACGAAGGTAATTCGGGTTTACAAAGAACTAATGCTCTTAAGAGAGTCACTCTTCAAGAACCGGAATCAAGATCCATCTTAACCTGTTCATTATTGACATGTAGACCAAAGTTATACCAAGTTGTCTAAGAAAAAGAAAAATGCCGATAATTACATATTCGAGTTGCAGATTCTATTTGAATAAAAATCCGCAGAGCAAGATTGGGTAAATCGAGAAAAGTAAATGCCCGACAGTGATGAAAAAATCTTCAAGCGTCTTTTGTGTTTGATAGCTGTCAGTTGTCAAAAATTGACCGCTACATAGCGTGCAATCAGCTGGGGAAGAATGACACGAAGCAAGCAGAATGAAGCATGCGATAGAAAGCGTGAAACACCGAGGTGTATGTGAGTATGTGGGTATGTGTGGTAAAAGAAGTTGGCAACAACTGTGCCAGCTGTTGCAAATTACCAGCAAAAGCAGCTAAATTTCAATCAAAGACATGCCACACACACACACACACACACCCACACGCACACACCTCTGTACTTTGCGTGCAACATGTGAATGTGAAAATGTGTTGAAAGAAAATTAATGCAACAAACATTGTAGCGCCTTTTTTGTTGTTGTTAATATTGCTGCTATTGTTATTGACAGCTCGCATTGGCGGCCTAGCATGACAACAACAACAATAACAACAAATGAAATAGGCGAACGAATGAATATTGTCAATGAAGGCGCAACGCCAAACGGTTCAATTGGTTGCAATATTGCGTAAAAAAGTCATTGAGTATGCAGTATCATGCACGTGGTTGTATATGCATATACCAATATAAATATATATATATATATATAAATATGTGTGCGTGTGTACTGCAAACAACTTACTTAATAGCGTTGTGGCATGCAAAAAGCTCATAATCAACTATTTAAAAGGCGGCGGCGGCGGCAACTTTTAGCAGTAAAAGAAATAAGAAAGAAAATATATTAAAAAACAACAACAAAAGCACCATGTGTGTGTAAATACATAGAATTGTCTGCGAATGTTGCAACATTGTATGCTGGTTGTTGCGCGTAGCGAATCGCTTTGTTGCCGCTATTATTGGCCTCCACTGTCTTTGTTGTTGTTGGCCGCTTTGCCTTGCAGGAAATATGTTATTTTTGAATTTTCTTTTTTGCTTTTTCGATGGGATTTTTTCTTTAGCCACTTTCTGCAGCTTATCTTCATTTCATTTCATTTTCTTTACTAAGCTAAAAGCAAAAACAAAAATAAATAACAATTCAACTTTATTGTTGGGTGTGGATTTAGTTTTGTGCTAAATTGTTGTAGTTCATTACTGTTGTTGCAGCGATATTGTGTGTTTGGAAAAGCTTAAATTCGTATTTAAACGGTGAATTATAGACTTCAGCGCACATGTGTGAGTACGACGTTTGAGTGCAAATATGTGACTCATATGTGTACGTGTTGTTGTTGGCGTTCTAAGCTCTCCCCTTTTTAAATGGCCTTGCCACATTTTTTTCGATTTAATGGCCATTTCGCGCTCTAATTTGAGTTGTCGTTGTTGCTATCTGGCTTGAAATCTTGTGGCAATAATGAGCATTGGTTTTATTTGTTAGCTGTTTTTTTCTCTGATTCAATTTCATCTTTTGGCTTTGATTCATATTATATCACATTTTAGATAATTGTGTGCTATTTTAAGAATTATTTATTACACTTTGGGTAACTAAATTTTATTTAATAAAAAAGTCTACGTTTATATACAAATAAAAATCATACTATCATTTGTAAAGATCCTCATATCTTGAAAAATTACCGACCGACTGAAGCTTTTACATAGCGGAACTGTTGCCCGTTTAATTTATTTTTTTTTCATTTTAACCTTTTTTATTTTTTATTTTATTTTATTTTATTTTATTTTATTTCATTTTATTTTATTTTATTTTATTTTATTTCATGTTATTTTATTTTATTTTTTATTTTATTTTCTTTTCTTTCTATTATTTTATTTTGTTTTATTTTATTTTACTTTATTTTATTTCATTTTATTTTATTTCATGTTATTTTATTTTATTTTTTATTCTATTTTCTTTTCTTTCTATTATTTTATTTAATTTTGTCTTTGATATTATTTAGTTTATTGTATTTAATTTATTATTATTTAGTTTATTGTATTTAATTTATTTTAATGTTATAACATTTTTTATTTTATTTGATTTTAATATATCATTTTATTTCATTTCATTTTATTTTCTTATTTAATTTAAGTTTTGTATATTTTTTTTCTCAATATAATTTATTTTTAGTTTATTTTAATTAATGTTTTTTATTTCAATTTTTTTCATTTCCTTATTTTAATTTTGTTTCGTTTTATTTTATTTCAATTAATTTTATTTTTAGTTTATTTTATTCTGTTTTATTTATTTTCTTTAATAGAATCTCTTTATCTATTATTTTATATTAATTAATGTTTTTTTTATTTGATTGATTTTTCTGATAATGTATTTTATGCATTTTTATTTTATTTTAATTTAGTTTTTATTTTTCCTTTAGTTTTATTTTATTTTATTCTATACTATTTTTATGTTTCTGATGCGTCGCAAAATTAAATGGAAAACGCTCTCCTATTCGGCTTGTCTGTTATCCTTACGGAAATGTTTCCATATCTTCCCAAATAGCAAGTTGTTTATATCAGTCAAAACCGATAATATATTCAAAGCTGATTTTCTTTTACAACTAAAAAATATCGAGGGGCCTCAAAGTCCAAAGTCATTTGAGTAATTAGGACCATTTAACACGCATCACTTACGAAAGGGTTGCCAACCATACCTCAAAGGATCAATGAAGCACGTGTGGGATAATAAAGGCTTAGCTGAACCGCATAGTGAAGAAGTTACATAGATTCACATGCACATAGATATATAAATTCATGAGAGATTAAGGTTGTTGTATGAATATATTTGCATTGGTACATTTGTTTAACAAGTTTTGCCATTCATTACGTCAGAACATAGACTTTCGGAACACACCGCAATTAACGTGTGTACAAACGCTCGTACACAGATAATTTCCTTAAGGCTTTAGTAAGAAATTTGGGTACGTGGAAATTCACATACTAACAAACTAAATATATGTGATATCAATGACAAATAGGCCGTGTGACATATAAATTACGCAGAAAACGTTGGGAGGAGAATTCTTCTTAGCTTGAAAGTTAGAAAGGGATGATGTAAGAAATGCCGACCACAAAACCACAACATGTTGATGTCAAAACTTGAATAAGTAGATAGGGTGTACTTATCTTTGAACTAAACACATACAAATATAACAAGAAGCCACACAACACCGAGAATTAAAATTTTCTGTGTTAAACAAATAGTTTTAGAGTTATTAGTATTAGTTACTAGAGAAAAATTTTAA